ATAATATCTATATTCTTAATATCTTATAATTTATAATTAAGATTTTAATACTTATTTAGAAAAATATAAGAGTTTTAATAATAAGCTTAATATTTAATAGAAAAGCTATTAAGCTATAATATTATCGAATAAGATATCTAAATAAGATAAACTTTAAGAGACTAATTAATATAAGTAAAAATATTATACTAACTTAGAAATCTCGAATTAGATTAATATATAAGATTTATTTTAAGATTAAATCTATATAAAAGATTTTAAAAAGAGTATAATATAAGGTACTCGAAAAATTCGATAAGATTTATATAGACTTAGGAGAACTTTTTAATATATTATTTATTAATAAGATTAAATACTATATACTTCTAATCGATTAAGTAATATTTTAAATCTAATACTTTATATATAAGTATAAAAACGAGATCTTTAAATTATTTCATAACTAGAAAACTTAGATAAAAAACAAATTCGATTATAAGATTAAGATAGTTCGTTTAAATAATAATATCGAATTTATTAATAATAAGTTTAAAGAATACTTTAAGAACTTCGAAATTATATGAGAGTCTATTATACTCTATATATCTAAGTAAAATAAACTTAGTAAGATATAAAATCGAATTATTATAAATAAGATAAAAGCTATACTTTTTAACTCGAAGTTATCCTACTATTTATAATTAGAATTACTTTATATTAAAGTATATTAAAAAAATAGAAATCTTATTACTCGTTTTTAAGATATAATATTATATAAGATATAAATAGATAAATAATTATACCTCGACTATATAAAGATTATCGATTACGTTATCTAGATATATATATCTAAGAAAAAATATAAGAAGCTCGATAAATATAGTAAGAAGTACTATCTAATTAGCTACGAAGATATAAATATCTTTTAAATATAGAATTTAGCTACTCGATAAGTAGAACGATTCTCTTATATCGATTTTGACGAATTATAAATAATAATTACTACGATCTTAAATATTAATTATTAACTAATCGAGGTTACTAGTAACGATATAATAGATATATTTAATATAAGAAGTAACTCTATAGTATATTAACATATATCTAAGATCGTTATCGATATCGATATGGGCTCTATTAATATAGATAAAATTAGAAATATCCTTTTTAATAGAAATACTAGAGAAATTAAAGAAGTCGAAGATATAGAAGATAGTAATATAGGCTTAGAAGAATCTAATAATAAAGATATTAAAGAGATATCTCGAGATAGTTCTATTACTTATCTAGATCTATATTTTAATATAATATATAATTCTTAACTAAAACGAAATTTTATATCTTTTTAGAAAGTTCTTCTAAATAATAAATAAAATAATATTAAAATATAGACTTAGAGAGTTATTATCTATATTAAATATAATAAAACTCTTAAATTAAAATATCTATATTATAGATAAGTTATATTAAATTATAAGAATCTAGATTATTATAATTTCGATTTTATTTTTAATTTTACTATTACTATTTAGTAAATAACTAATATAAAATATTATTAGATTACTGCGAAGATTAATAATTTTAAATTATTAATCTATAATTAGATAATAACTAGTCTCTATATTAAATAATAAAAGAAGACTATAGATAAGTAGATAAATTTCTTTATTATAATAAATACTTAAAAGCTTATTTTAAGAATAAAAAATATATTAATTCTTATTAATAAATAAGTCTATAAGATAAAGAAGAAACTTAATAACTTTATTCTCTATAAAATACGTTAAATAATTCGAGATTTTAAATAAATTTATAACGTTAATTACGATTAAACCTTCGCCTTAATTATTAAGTCTATATTATTTAAAATACTATTTATAATTATAATATATTATAACTTAAATTATAAATAAATAAATATTATTATTATATTTCTTAATATATTATTAAAAGAAATTATTTATATAAAATAGTTTAAAGGGTATAAGAAGAAAGATAATAAGATATATCTATTACTTAAAATACTATATAATTTAAAATAATCGCTATAAAAATAATACTTCAATCTATAAAACTTTCTTATATTTAAAAAATTTAAATCTATTAAATTCAATTACTCACTCTTTATTAATAAGAAAATATAATTTATTATTAGCGTATATATAGATAATATCTAGATTTATAGTCTAAAAGAATTAAAATAATATCGAAACTTAAATGAGATCTTTATAAACGATTCGCTATAATTAATCTTAAATTATACTTATACTATTTAGATATAGAAATTTAGAGAAATTATAAAAAGAGAATCGTTTAGATTATTTAAATAACGTACTTAAGAAAAATATTATTACGATTTAATATAATTAATTATATATCTATATTTATATTAATAATAATAAATACTTAACTATAAGAGAAATTAGTTAATAAAATTAAATTAGAAGTTATTTAGAAGTATTAATTAATAATAAAATCGATAATATACTCTATAATTTAGACTTATTCGAATATCTATTTTATCGTTATAATTCTTTTATAATATAATTATAATTTAAATTCGAAATATATTATAGTCGTTAAATAAGTTATTCGTTATTTAAAGAAAATATTAATTTATAATATTATATATAAAATAGCTAATATATTAAAAGGCTATATAAATACTAATTAAATCTTAATCTTAGAAATTTATCGATCTTTTAAAATCTATATATTCTTATTTTATAATAAGATAATTAATTAAACGTCTAAATAATAATAGTCTATTATATTATTATCTTATAAGATTAAATATATAGCTTAGATCTAGACAACAAAGAAAGCTATTTAATTAATTAGACTTCTAAGCGAATTAAATATTAACTTCGAATTATTTAATAAATTAATATTAATTAAAGTAGATAACTAGAGAGCTATTATATTAACTAAAAACTCTCGCTTTCACTTATATATTAAATATATTAATATTTAATAATATTTTATATAAAATTAAGTGAAAATAGAAGTAGTTATATTTAAATAGATATTTATTAATAATATAATTGCGGATAAACTTATTAAAGCTCTTACTAATAATAAATTCGCTATATTTATATATTAAATTAAACTTAAGAAGAGCGAATAGAAGAAATAGTTTAAATTCGGATTATATGGAAGTATTAAAACTAATAGTATTTCTAGCTATTATTTAGATTATATGAGAGTATTAAAATTAGCTAATAGAAGGCCAGCATTTCTACACACTACTAAGTTATAAATAGATGTTGTGATTACGTCTTATGGTGGTAAATAGTCTTAGTGTGACTTCACACCATAGATAGATAATCACCTCCATCCTTACTACATACTTCTTCATAGAACATGATAATAAACAACCATTCTACATGGTTTGAGACCATTGAGTGCATACCATTTCCAATAATAAGTGACAGCTCGTAGGGGCTTAGAGACGCAGCGTCGATCATCATTCATCGAGCGGGGCTGTGAGCCTGTGGCCCGTGGGGCCGGAAGACCCGGCCGCGTACATAATGCGGGCGTTGGTTTAAGCTTCTGTCATTGACGGTTCAGTAGCCGTGCAGATGCAAGGCATTCTTGGGTAAAGCTTCCCTCGCTGAACCTAGCGTTGGTTTAAGCTTCTGTTCGTTGTGACTTGGCCAAACCCAAGTATAGAGCCTCGTATTTATACTTGAGTATACGTATCTTGGTGACTGCAGATGTAGGGACCGGTTTGGGAACGCTCGGACGGTGCGCGCCTGGCGGGGCGCCACCAGATAGACTCGTACCTTCAGCTGAAACCCGCAGTTATGCGCCCACCCTCCCCCAAAGCCCCTCATTGCCAACAGTCTCTGCATCGGGTGTGACGCTTTGCTTCGTATCAGCCGTGATATCTCTGTTGGGACGGTTCTGCATATCTGTGTGGCCAACGGTGCTTTATGAGGCTATCTTCTGTCTGTAAAGAGGAATGCAGTCTCTGCACTGTTCACAGCTGGTAGGACCAGACATGGGCGACTATGGAGCTGAAAAAATCCGCTAAGCGGTAACCTTTATCTAAAGTGATGTGTCAGTCATTTGCATACGATGTGCGCTAGTGCGTGATTTTGGAGACGTCGTTGAATCATAAATATATGTGTATGGCGCTGTGTGTGCGTGGTGCGGTTGTTCGGAGGGAATTCTTTTCCAGATGAGGGCGTATCTCGAACGCACGCGCATTCGTGTTCATGGTTACATCGAGGACCACAGACTGTCAAGGTGCTGCGAAACGAGTTCTCAACCCGGCAAAGTCCGCATCTCCTCTCCCCCCCGCGTCTGCGTCCTGCATCTTGTTGGCTTTGAGGCAATTTTCTCGTACAAGAAATCGTGCAGAAAGTCTCTGGTGAAGAGATTGCGGGGAAAGAGAAGGTCGTCCAATGGCTTCATCGGGCTTCACGGCAGGGGCTTTCTCTACCTTCCCGTTCCACTTGTCCTTCATCTGACAGGTCCGATAACAGCAGGGGGGATGTGTGTCCTTGGCTCTCAAGGTAAGGGAAGGCGTTTGCTCCGCTGGAATGAATTTGTTAGGGGTCCCAAAGGCTAGCGCAATTGATCCAGACATGAGGTGCTATAAACATAAAACTCGAGTCAGGCGTAGAGAGTAACCCATTTCACGCTAGTCGCCTTGACCTGGAAGTGCAACAACTGACTGATGATAGAGATTCCCCGAGAAGAGGTTGAGTAAAACGTCTCGCAGACATAGCTGTTTCATATATTGGATTGCACTAGTCTATAAGCAAAATCCATCTTGTCAAACTCTCTGGGTGACAAGATATGTGCTGCCTGTTCTTATACCCAAAAAACCGACTAGAGAATTATACTACTAAAAGTACACTAACGCGACGCGTCACGTGCGTTGGCGTCGTGAAGTTTGAGCACTTCCCTTCGTCTTCAGCAGTCATAGCTTTCTCTATCACTGTGCTCTCTTACCGTCACCGTCGTATAAATCATGTACCATCAGAGCTACTTGTAGCTCGAGATCCAAAGCGATGAGAGTTCAGCATTTCGATGATTTGGATGATTATGTTCGTAGCACACCTCATTCCAGACGCGAAGACCTATTCCGCTACTTCGATCTCGCAATCGAAATCCGATACAACATCCTCGGATTCCTTCCCGCCCGCGGGACGGTCGCTCTGAGACGAGATGTAGCGGTAAAACAGCGGCTCCGGTATTGGGACCACGAGCGACCAGAGTGGGGTAAGTCTGTCCTTGACAGAGATGCCAATCAGAGTCTTGTTGATCCTTGCACCACCAGCTTTGCTCTCCGCTGTCAGCCGCCAAACGCAGAGAGATGCTTCTGACGTAGTCTACTCCGCCAAGAACACAATTTTTGTACCTCTGGGCTCTATCGATGATGACGGCTGGTGGTGCATTCCTCGGCCATTTCCCCAGGTTAAGAGGCTCGATATTGCCTTCGATATGCAGGATATCACAGAGAACATCGCATACACTCTACAGTGCGTCAAGTACCGGCAAGACGGACCCGACGGCACTTCTAGGAGGACCCTTTTCGAGGAACTGACGAACGCCGAGAGATGGGACCTTTTGCATGAAAAGAACAAGGAAGGGCTCACATTCGATATTTGGTCTTCGAAGATTAGTGCTTGTATAGGTATCGACGGTCTGGCGCCTAGATTTCACAAACTGGCGGTATCCGGTCGGTTGCTGTCGTATGGGCCATACTCTGCTGGGGTACCTGGATGGTAATGGCTACAATTATCGGCATCCGAAGCGGATTGAGATTGTGGGCATGCTTGAACGGGAACAGCACATTTGCAGAGGTATGCTTGCACATAGTGGTTAGATACCTCTAGATTGTGTCTTCTTCGTTGATGGTCAGGGATGTACATGTAAAGTGAGTTCCCCGATCTATTGTATTCTTGTACGGACTATCGACAGGCCTCTCAGGAAGGAGCAAGCTGCGACCCAAAAGTCCTAAGTGCTCGCTAAAGTGCTGATTGAAGGCATCCGCAAGCTTTCGATCGACTTCCACGGTATCAAGCTAATTCCCAGATGGAGAAGCGAATTTGATCGGAGCGAGACTAGACACTGTACGCTCAATGCGGAAATCGCAGCGACATCTTGGCGAACACATACTGTATCATAGAGCAAGGATTTGCTCCGCCGGTTGCTTGTTGCTCAACACTAGTCGATAGTAGACAGCCGTTTTAGCTAGATTTTATGCTCAAAAGCCGAAGTTGAAACACTAAAACCCTTCTCCATCCTCTAGCCCATCGCACACAGCATCATCTTTCCTGCGCGCAGGCCTTGGCTGCTCTTGGCCATCTTTCTCTCGTTCACAGTGTCGCGATCCATTCCCAACGGCAACCCCCGATCCGCACCCTGGCAATCTTACAACGACCTATCCCACCCAAACACACAAAGCGCCCGCCTCCCATACCCCATCTGACTCCACCAACATCGCCAACGACGTCAGATTCGAGACAAGTTCCGGAAGTCGTGTTCCACAAAGCCGCCGCTAACTTCTAGGAGGCAGAATCGCAGAGGAAGCCACACAAAAGTTCTACCCACGGAGCCATCACATTTCTGTATCCGCCGCAGCGGCATTCTGTTATCCTTAGATAAAGAATAGCTAGCCATGCCCAACCAAGCAACCACAGCGACCGTTCCGCGCCACTTGCTAGCGGCGTCTGCTTTTCAGATGCTGGCTAAGGGCTACGGAAAAAGCATTTACGGATCCTTGGTTCTCTTGGACATGGTGTCAATACCAAGCGATTGCGTTACTCGGTTCTATTGAGGGTTGATTTTTTTTGGTGGCTGAGGCTGTGGCTTAGAAGGAGGATGATAAGTCGGGCATGTACTATGGGGTACGCAGTAGGCCGGAGCGCCGGCGGATGGGTGCCGGCAGCCTGGCGTTAGCAATGAGAAGATGGTACGGTCCCGATTAAAGGCTGATGTGCAGTGTTGAGTCGCTGGGGCTGGTGGTGTGGTGATGGGGTGGAAGACTTGGGGGTTCAGATTGGTTCACATCGCGCTGTACGCACGTGCAAAAGGGTCGGAAAAAGGACAAATCTTTCCGGTAGGAATTTTTCTTTTAATAATTTTGAGACATGTAGACTGTGGGGCGGGCGTGTCCGAGTAGTCAGTGGGAGGATATCAGTAGGACTGTCAATTGTGCTTTCGGATAGCAATTAGCGTGATAGTTTGTGCTTCACTGCACAAGTCCATGATCCTATCTTATCATACATGTACATCTGCAAGCATTCCACCTTTCTTTTGCCATACACACTAGCAATACTCTGCGACTCCATCAACTCGTTCCCAGCACCACCACCACCTCCTCAATCTTCTTCCGTATTTAGCTGTACGATCAATTCCTGCAGTGTACGCACAACTTTGCCAGTGGAGCGAGCATCTGCACCGGCACCCATGATAGTTCCCTGTGTCTGTGACGCCTCCGTAGTCTCCTGCCTATCCTCTGCAGCAAAGAACACCTTGAGGGACTCCCCTGTTCTTCCCATGTCGGCCTTGGTAGCACCTGGAAGTATGGTGAATATCTCCTCAAAGGATCGTGGGTCGTTTAATTGACGGGAGGCAATCAATAGGCACCAGGGAACGGTAAGGCTTTCTTCTTCGTCTTTGAAGCTGCCAGAATTGCAAACCTTCTTGCAGAGACGTTTGGCGTAATACACGACAATCGGAGCGATTTTAATCGGGTCCGAGATGCTAGCGAGGGCGTCATAGGCGGATTGCAAACGCTTGTCCTCCTCGGAGAGCAGGGATTCCCTTACCAGCGGGGTAGCGAAGAAGTCCTTCAATTTTCCGGACACGATGAGCATTTGCTGGGTCGTTGCGTGGGATGATCTGAAGACTTCTGGCATAGCTCGTTGCTGATTCTTCTCGCCGCAGGCAATATGAACGCAGGCAGCGACAATGGCGTTGTGTTGCAATTGGAGTTCTTCAAAGTCGCTGAAGTTGTAGACTTCGCTGTACAGTAACTTTGCGTAACCAGCGACTTCGTGGGAAGCACTCAAGGACTTAACAAGAACGTCCATTTCATTGTAGGCGATTGTGAGTTTGATAACATGCCGCTCGTGGACCGAGCCCGTCAAAGACGGAGCAACAACCGCGTTTTCTGTGGAGATATTGGCGATCTCTCCCGCTAGCGTGAAGTTGTCTTGATCCGAAATGCTGTTCTGCGTAGACATTTCCCTCTGAGAATGCGAGATGTCTTGCGAGGACATGGTAGATGTTTTGATCGTGTTTTCCTGGTTGCCTTTGGCCTTGATGAACTGATTTCATGAAAGATGAGATGTTATGGCTTAAGTACTTTACGAGGTGCGAGGTTGACGACAACCAGATTGTATGGGGAAGACGAAAGAAGAGGGAGACCGAAGACTTCTGACTCAGATGAGTAACGAGTGGTGTTATGGGCCATGTCTTAGAGCTTTATGGACGACTGCGTCTTTGTTCTGACGTAGTGATCAGCTGATGGCAAAGAGGGCAACAATGGTTTGCAACAGTGAATGTGTTAAGTTGGGCCAGCGACATTATGCATGAAGCTTCTTCTGGTGCCGGTCGGACGGCGTACCCAAACCGGCTGTTTGTGCCTCAGCAAACTCCTTCCGTTGAGATTGGTTCTTGTCGACCTGGACAATGGAAGTTTCTGTGCGCCGTTTGCTGCAAATCGATGAAACTATGTGGGTCCCCAGGCAGCTAGACCAAGAGGCAATGTGAGTTTGCCTTTCCTCTTGAGCTGATGATGTCCTCGTTTACGTTGCCAATTTTCAGGGCCTACGAGGGTGTCTTACGCTTCCATTGCCACAAGAAACCCAACGGGTGGTAACACAAGGTTTCAAGACGCATGAAAAAGGCACATGAAACAAGATCCGTGAAACCAGACATTTGTAACAAGCCACGTGAAGGAGACTCATCAATGAGCCGCATTTTTATGGAACAGTCAAATCATCGTAAAAAGACGCATCGTTAGTTCCATAGTAACTCGTCCCTTCTAGTGGGTGATGTTATCTCCGAGTAGAGCTGACCTATCATCGAATTGGCTGAGGAATCTAGGATTGTCGTAGACGTGGTGTTAGAGCTTATTTTCCAAAGGATGTGACGTCCTTAATGAATTTCCATCCACTTGCACTGCTTGTGAGTTGCTTGAAGGCAGCGAAAAAGAGTTCTGACATCATTGTCGTTTGGATCAAAGTTTATCGCTAGAAGGTTCGGTCGTTATGGATTGCTACTCCGCCTGACTTGCTGATGGAAAATTCCTGATGATGCAGCGCTGCTTATTCCTGGATCTAGGTTGAAGAGTGGATTTTGAGTCTTCTCCTGTCTGAGTTGGATGGTCATTGCTTGACTGTAGTGGCTTGTCCAATTTGGGGGAAGATAAAACGCCCAAGGAAAGCGGAGAACAATGTACCTAAGTATCTACGCATTCTATATTTATTGGACTGAATACAGAGTTCTGTAATTAGAATCCGCGTCGGCGAGGTAATCAGCCGACTCGGGGCTTGGGTATTGGCGAATTGTTTAGTACCTGTTAGTATGAGAAGAGTCATGGACTTGAAAACAAGATTTACACAATAGAAAAATGCGTTTCTGACTGTGATCATTCTCTGAAATTCGCAGGAACATCAATCTGCTGCCTCGTTTGAAACACTCAATGCCTGCGCTTCCATTACTTCATCTGCAATTAGCTCCACCTCTATCCATCCTACATCAGTCACTAGGTCAAAGCAATTTCGCGCATTCTTACCTCACCATGCCGGCCTCCAGCCAAATCTCGGCCCCTACTCAATCTTCAACAGCTTCAAGTCAAAGGCTACATCCAATTCAATGTCGGACTCACCGAAAAGTGCCTCCCACTCCTCAGGGGTGAACGCATAACATTCTGGGACGATGATGCGACGATCCTTCCTACCAACATGCCCTTCATTCCGATGTGGAAGGCATCGGTGTCCATGCAATCATCTCCGACAGTGAAAGTGAGTCTGTCCCTTGGTGGGCTGCAGTCAATGACTCTACCATCTCTGAGCTTCCTACCGAGGATCAAGGTGATGTTGCTGCCGGGCACTGCGACGGGGCCCGTACCGGTCTTTTGGTCCTCTTTCTCGCCACCTTGGTGGAACATCTCGTTAGGCAGAAAGCGGTCTTCAACACTTGTAGGCAGCTTCGAGATCTCTAACGTACTTCTATCGGCATGGTCGGAAAGTACCGTGCTAAGTGAGCTGTGGAGGGGTCGCGCACCACGTGATTGTACATTGTATACAACTAGACAATACGTACGCGTCCAGGATCCTGGTATCCCGAGGTCTGGAGCGAGTTGGCGACGTCGAAAGCAGAGATATATCCTGGTCCCAATGGTCGGTTGCCAGCCTCCTCTTGCTCATGTTTTCCTGCCTCATGATGAGCAGAGACAGATTCCTCGAGGTCCTTAACAATATTTTCGATGTCTAAGATCTGAACGTTGGTCAGACGACGGGCCACCGCGTAGCTCTTACATCTTCATCTGACGACAAGCGATGTATAAGCAGCCCACGACAATAGCATCTACTTCGCGTTTGTCGAGATCTCAGCGCTCATAAACAAAGTCGAAGAGAAATTTGGCGTAGGATGTGATTCTGACTGGGAGGGACAGGCAGTCGCAGAAGACCTGGATCTCGTGATAAGCTGATATTAGCGGCCTGGAAAGGTCACTAGCTTCGGCAGCCTCATCCATCGTGCCACTGTTGATGTCGACTATTGGCGGGGTGAAGAATATCTTGAGGGTTTCGACACATTCCTCTTCTTTTTTCATCCTTGGCGCTCAGGCATCGCGTTGTCGAATGTATAGAGTCGACCTCGTGTCAGAGAAAGCAATGGAAAGGCATCTTAGAATGACTGTGTTCTGTGGCCAACAAGTAAAATGGCCCGATGCATAGGACTTTTCGTAGAGCTCTCTCGCATTGCGGTGGATAGCAGCCCATGGCTTCGTAGAGGCGCTTGAATTCTTGGTAACCAGCCAGCAAGCTCGCGTGGATTTCTTGACTTGGAGTAGATGATTCGTGCCAAATGGAACCCTGGCTTCGAAATGATAATTTTTGATCAGCTGTACTTCATTCCTGTAGAGCTGGGTATCGATCGCAGTTGATTGGACACGGTAGGGAAGAGCGGATTTCTGACGAAGGTAAACTAACTTATTGGTAGCCATGGCTGATACTTTCGCCGTACGACTTGTCTGTGGATTTAATTTGGGTGTTCGGATGAGGTACCAGAGGAAAGAAGAAGATGGAATTAGGAATGGGAGAGATTTGGGTCAAACAGCACAACGTGTCGGAGCACTCTCGAGCCTGATGGCTTGTTGTCAGTGTCGTTGCTGAGTAAGAAATCAAGCAGGGCAATCCCTTCATACAATTGCATGTTTTGGAACAGCGAACAATGACAGCGATGACTTTGACTGAAAACAAAGCACAGTCAGATGCTGGCCAGATGAGTCGTATGGATCACCCTGCAAAGGCAAGGTGGAATTGTCACTTAGGTCTCTAGGAGAGTAAAGCATTGGTTAGCACTTTCAATTTTATGGACATGAGTAGACATTGCCGTTGAAATCTCCACCTTCTGCGCCCAAACTGTTGCACAACTCGTGGGAATGTCCGACATGGTAATAACACAGTATCCGGGACACGTAGACGAGAACGATTGACTAGCCGCCTTCAGGGATACCCAGCGTTTGTCTTTGCTTCATTAGCCCATTAACTATCAGAACCTTCTCCATCTATCTTACATCAGCGGTGATCAGATCTACGCGAGCAATACTACCACAACTTATCTCTCCTCTAGGTCCAGCGCGGACCCAGCCTCTCTCTACCCTCATCAGCTGGTCCCTCCGCCTCGCTATCGTCACTCGAGTGGGCCCTATATGAAGAGGAGCCAGTGTCTGGCTCACCAGGCAGATATCTCGCCTCTTCCTCCGACTGTATCTCGAGCCTAGCCTCTTCAGCAAGAAATTGCTCAAGATCCTTCACCACCGCCTCGAGTTCCACGATAGGAACGCCGGTTACGATCCAGACTTCCCGAAAGGTGCGAGGTACTCCTAGCTGGCGGAACGCGAGGTAGAAACATCCTGCCACGACTGCTGCTTGTTCATCCTGCTCAAACCCTCCTGAAAGGTGGACATTCTTGTAAAGGGACTTGATACGAGCCGTAACATTGCACAGGATTTGAGAGGGTATAGGTAGGCATTCGCAAAGGGTCTCGATTCTTTTGTAGGCCGCTCGAAAGAATTTGGTTGAGTCACCAACACTGGAGTCTGCGTCATCTGGGTTCTCGTTCTCTACTACGGCGGCGTTATACCCCTTAGCTTCGTTGACAACAGCTGGTTCCATCACCTCATCGGCATCCCCGACGGATGCTTTGGGCAAGAATTCCTCGAGGGCTGCAAAAATCCTTAGTACGTCCAGATCTGCGGCTGGCGCTAAGATAGAGCGCTCGTGGTAGGAGATCTTGCTCTCTTGCAAGATGCGGTACCCCCCCGTTGCCTCTCTCGTTACCGGGTCGTCCTCGGTGGCCTCGTAAGCGATAAACAAACAGCCAGCGACGACTGTCTTCTGAGGCTCAGACACAAACTCTTCCGATTCATAGACCGCCTCGAAGAGTTCTCTTGCATAGCTGTGGATGTGCAAACGCGTATCCATCTTTTCGCAAAGGGTCTTGATTTCTTTGTAGCCAGCTCGCAAACCCTCGGGCAGATCTTGATTCACGACAAAGGCGCTGCCGCCATTGGACGGAACCATTTTTTCGAATGAGGATGTGTCTAAGAGGGACGTTTCGCTCGTGGCGAAGGAAGCCATGACTGACGATTTTGGGTTGAGATTTGTCTAGGGATTTGATTTTTGGTGGCCTGGTTTTGCTGAAACTTGATCCGCTTGGATATGGGGGTTGTTGCGATGTGCGGTCATGAAGATGAGGGAGTGTGAAGAAGGAAGTTGAAAGGAGGAGCATTATTGTAAATAGGGTCTCGATGTGGATGGAACCTGCAACACAATCAGACCCTGGCTCGTCAGTCAATGTCATATCTTTGTGAACTATATTTCCTTTGATGAAAGATGTTCATTGGGCTAGTTCTTGACACTGAGTGACAAGGTCTTTGTGCTAGAGGGAGTTGGATTAATACTTTCTACCCAATACATCGTGACAAAGCTTTCATTTTACTGCCTTGACAAGGTTGCGCAGAAAGTGGATGCAATGGTCCAAAGATTGGTGATGCTGAGTATACCCTGTTTCTTTGCAGCCCGGTCGGCTTTGTGATTTCCAACAATTGCTTCATCCAACCTATGGGTAACATCAACTGGTTAGTAGAATCTCGACAGCGACGTGACCGATGTCTCTCTCTGATGTCCCAATCAGTTCTCGTTATCCCTCTTGCGCTTCTTGTCGCTCGAGTGGTCCAGTAGGAAGGAGCCACCAAGTGGTTCTCCAACTGGGTAGTAGCTATCGTGTGAACGCGATGGTCCTAGGGACATGATCTCCCCTTTGTCAAACAAGCGTTCCGTGACGATATCTATCCCAGGAATCGATGGCATGAGCACCCCCGCATTATTGAACAGGTGGGCTGTGTCCCTGCCATGGTTAGGCGCCCTGCGCTTCCTCGGCTTTTGCGGTCTTGGTTCCGGTTGCTTGCCCGCTAGGGTGACGAACTGGTCGCGTGCTGCGGGGATCGCGAGTGTGCTTCCCTGTTTGGGTGCCGTAGTGGGCGACTTAGCTGGCTTTTTGACTACTGACGTGTCCTTACGGCTTGACGTGTCCATTATTGACGCCGTGACGGGGGTCGGAATGTGTGTGGCCAAGGTTCCTATCCCATTCGACTTATTCGACATCGAAGCAACCGTTGCTGCTTGCTTCTCCGCTGCCATGGCAGCCCATTTGTCGACTTTGTTCATAACCACGAATGCCTCTGGCTCATCCGCCAGCAGAGAAGCAATGGACAATGCACTTCGCTTGTGCTTGCTCGGAGTGATAGCAGCTTTTAGGGTGTTCAGATTCCGTGTAACGGTAAGGTTGTTACTCTCATGATCAAACCATCTGAGAGAGTCGGGGTTGCCGTTGGTTTCGATACATCGAGGAAAGTGCTGCTTGACTGCCAAGGAACGTGAGTAGGTAGTGTCGCAACGAGGGCAGTGGTATTGAGGGTTATCCAAAGGATTTTCTCCTCTAGGTTGGAGCGGTGGATTATGGAGCGCTGGAGCGAAGACTCCGCAGACTTCTGTACAGACTTCTCGTCCTCGATGTGGGACTATATTGACCGATTAAGCCATTAGTCTCAGATTCCAGATTCTGAGGGATGCTGGAGCATACCGAAATCAGAAGAGCTAGCTTGTTGTTGTTCATAAACAGTGCATTGATGGTCATGACCGATGCTGCCTATCTTTGATCGCTCTTGTCGTTCAAAAGCAGCGTGTTGTTGGTCGAGGTTCACGGCCATCGTGCTTGCCGTTTGGACTGGAAGTGAGCAGGTTAGTACGATCCTAAGCATGAAAACATATCACCGCACTTGGGTTCTAAAAGCTCACCTTGACCCTCTGGCGGTGACATTGAGGATCTTGTGGGCTGGAGACAGACGCGTATGGCGGTAAATGAAAACACTGTTGCTGGATGCGTCAAAACACAAGCTGGTGACTCCACGTCATTTATTCACTTTGATAGCCGCGTTTGACGCGGACTATAGTAAGTAGGAAATGAGGTTTCCGGTAAGGCATTGGGAGATGGAGGCCTAGCAGAAGAGTCCAAAGACTGAGATAATGCAAGACCTCTTTAGGGCAAGGTAGCAAATCTTGGGAAACATGATACTAATAGCGAGATTCAAACAATCCAAACGCTGTGCTGCAGTCCTTTTTAACATATATGTGTCTCATCTTAGGCTTGAAGCCCAAGTTGTGTTCCACTATATGCCTGCGCTGAAGTCACAAACTGCGAAATTTGCAGGCAGCTCGCACGCTGGCCACCATGCTTCCGAGACCGATTCACTTTCGCACCCAACATCGTCTCGATGATATTCCAGCTCTCATGATGCCGCTGTACCTTCCAACCTTCCTTCCAAAGGTCCGTCTTGCTCTCCGCAGTAGCGTTACTGGTCTCAAACTGCGGTGCCATTTCGCAATTGCACCAAGCCAGATGTTCCATAGCCATCTTTTGAACCTCAGAATACATATTGTGCGCGCCAAAGGACACTTTCTTTGATGGAGCTGGCATGTGGGAGAAGCTGGTCGAGGCCTTGGGCATGGTGATTTTGTCATTGAGAGCGTAAAGTCAGCGCTGTAGATTGGCTGCCTTCCGACTATGCGAGATACTCCCGTTATGTCATACTAATGTATTCGGAGCGATTTGTCACGGTCGCCGGCCTCTGATCCTGTCAGAGTATAAGATTGAACTTTGCAGAGCGCTGGTTTTCGCCACAGCTTGACTGGGGGCTAGTGAGGGCACAGCACATACTTATGGCAGGATAGCCGAGATTGCCATGTTGGAAGAGCCTTGAATAGGCGGTGTTCCCACCTGTTTTTTACTCCTTATTCTTATTCCTCTCATCGTAAGAAGAGGTTTTTACACTTTTTTCTTTCCTAACATTAGACGAAAGCAATTTTCATTTAGAAAATATATTATTCTTATTTATTACTATTCAGCCACTATTAATAGCCCTTAAATATTCTTATAAGCCTATTATAAAGACTATAGCTATATATCAGACTACTATCACTAGACTATTATCTTTATAAGAATCATTTATAAAAGAATTCTCTAATAGACCTCTTCTTCTATCTACTCTCGCTATATCTTTTATTTACTAATTATATTCTTTAATAGAATTATTTACTTTATTAGATCTAATCTATAATTCTTATACTATTTAATTATAATTAATTTATTAAAAACTTAAACGAGTATAGATCGACGAAAATAATATGCTTTAGAATTATAATAAACTCGCTTATATATAGAATAAGATTAATAAGATCTATATTCGTCGCTAGTTAGCTATCTTTATTATATATTAATCTATACTCTAAATCTCTATATTATCAATCTATTAATTATTTCTATTCGCTTTATCTTCTTAACTATTATTTATATCTCTTTAAATTATATAATTAACTTTAATTCTATTATAATAAAAAATATTAATATCATCTAAGACGAAAGTAATATCGCGTTATTTCTTTTTATATTAAGATAATAACTTTATAATAATCTCTCTTCTTCTTTATTTCAAAGCGATAGATCTAAAATATATTAAATAAATCTATTATAAAACGTTCGATATTAAATATTTTAATAAGCTATTTAATAGCTTTATTAATTATCTCATTAGCGATAATAAAAAAATTAAGAAACTTAAGAAATTACTTCGATATTTCGAGGTCTATAATTAAATTATATATTTCTTTATCTATAAAATAATTATCTTACTTCTTTAAGAAATCCTATTAAACTATTACTATTATATTTCTAATCTATTAACTATTTATATTTTTTAATTAATATACTATTTCTATAAGATTTTTATTTATAATAAAATTTAGCTTTATTAAGATAATACTTATATATAGCGAATACTTAATAATTATTTAAAAAATTGAATTCTAAAATAGTAATCTTCGTCGATTTAATTAAAAGTTTATTTATTATATAATTTATATCTAAGTTAGACTTTATCTCAGATATATTATAATATTACTTTTATATCTTTTTATTAAAATATTTAGAATTCTTAATTATTTTATTATAATTAATTTAATCGTAATAAACTATATAACTCTTAAGATTATCGCTATCTATATATATATAATATATATAATTAATTATATTCTTTTATTAGCTATATTAACGAAATCTTTATTAATACTATCTCGTTAAGTATAAGACTCTCTCTTATCCCTTAATTATAATTAATATTAAGAGATCTTAAGTCGATAATTAAGTTATTTTTATATATACTTATCTCGCTAAATAAGCTTCTACTAAAAAGATATAATTTATTAAAAAAAGATAACTAAAAGAAATAGCTTAAAAATTATCTTAATTAGATATTTACTAATATCTTATTTATAATTATTACTCGCGGTATTAAAATAGATTATTAAGATTTTAATTAATTACTATTAAGTAAATCTTATCTTAATACTACTATAATATTTAAAATACTATTTAAAGATCTTTAAAAGTAAAAGAATAATAATTATCTAATATAATTAAATATAAAACTCTTAAAATACTTTATTTCATTTTTATTAAACTTTATTTTAAAATATAATAACGACTAAAGAAGAATTTACGATCTTTTCTTTCTATAATTATAATTCGGTAATTACTATATTTATAAGATTTATAAAATACTCGAGTATATTATATTAGATAATACTATTAATACTCTACTTATTTAAAATAAGAGTATAATTATAATTAAATAAGATCTCGTTACTATATTTAGATATATTTTTATAGTCGAATTAAATTTTTAATTACTAGATTTCTTTTAGAATAGCTTCTATTATATTAATAGATTCTTATTATTTAATTTATATATCGTACTTTTTATTTTTAATCTATTCGCTAAAACTCTTTATTAAATACTTATTATTATTTTATTCTAAAGTATTATTTTTTACTATTTAAATAACTTCTTCGTTATTCTTTCGCTTAATAACGATATAATCTAATTTAGTAATAACTTTAATATTATCTATAATAACTATAATTTAAAAATAAATTATATTAAGAATAAGAAAGATATTCTAATTAAATTTTTAAGAATTTAATTCGATAGCGAGAAGATAAAGATTAAACTCTTTTTTAATAAATTAAAAAAAGATAAGAAAGTCGATAAAAGCCCTTTTAAATAAGCGAAGTATTCTTTATAACGAGCTTAAGTTAGCGATAAATTTACTATTCTTCTTCGCTAAAGTAATAATCTCTAATAAAATCTTTTTAAAAAGACTTTACTTCGCATTATTTAAAAAATAAGAATATTATTATATTATTATTATAATTATAGCGAATCTACATTAATAGAATATCTTTTTATTTAAGTAAAATAAGATATAACTACTTTATTATATAATTATATATTATTACTATTTTATATAAATAAACACTTTTAATAAGTATAGAATAAGAGAATATATTCTTAAGAATATCGCTATTTATTCTAAATTAGACGATATATTTAATATATACTTCGCTACTCGCTATTATAAAAAGAATATTTAATTTAAAAAGATATTTATTATTTTTATAATTATTTATAGATAACTATCTTACTTATATTAATTATATTTTACACTTTATTATAATAATAATATTATTATTAAAAATATTAATAGTAGTTTTATATATAAATTAATTATAATATCGCTTAAATAAATAGTTATATTATTTATTTAATATAATATTATTTATAATATAATTTAGATTTCTATTAAGTAAAATACTTTAATTAACTTACTTTCTTATTTTAAATTTAATAAAATTATTAATTTATATTTATAATTAAGCGCTTTTAATCTACGTAGAAATTATTAAATCGCGATTTATTTAAATTACAATATAAGAAAACTTCTCTAAATTATAATATTATAAGATATCTTTAATAAGATCTAATTAATAAGAATAAAAGTAGCTATTAAACGACGAAGGTCTTCTATATCGAGTTTTATACTCTATTAAAAACTATTATATTTTTTATTATTATTTAATTACTTATTAATTAAATAGTATATTTAATTAATTATTATATTTAAATTAAATCTATTAAGATTTATCTTATAGATATTTATTTAGCTTATATAAATTTAAAATTTAAAAATCTTAAAATCTTTTATTACTTACTATTATAGCGAGTAATTATTAATATTTATAGACTATATAATAAGATTAATATTAAAAAATATTATTTAATTATATAAGATTTATTACTTTATATCTTTATCTAATTTAATAAAACTTCTCTTAAAAAAGCTATTTTATATACTTTCTTTTATTTTATATTTATTATATTTCTTTATATAAACGAATTTATATAATTTTAAGCTAAATTCGAGAATAATAACTTTAAATAATAATATATTATAAGATATTTAATTACGCTATATAGTTATTATATAAAGCTATTATTATTATTCTTAAAGACGAACTTATTTAAAAGAGAAATTACGCTATTTATTATCGCTATAAATAATAATATCTACTTTATTTATTTACTACGAAACTTATTTACTCGCTTTTCTATTAATAAATTATTATTACTATTTAATTTAAATAAGATCTTTATAAGATAATATATTATTATTATATTACGTAGTATACTATATATACTTAATTATTTAAGCTACTATTTAAGATACTCTTTTTATAAAAAGATTATTATCTTCGTAAGAGATATCGATTTAATTAATAATAAGATTTAACTATTTAATCGTTAAAAGTCTAACT